AAACAAACAAACAAACAAACAAAAAGTGTTTAGTAATCAAAAGTCTATAAGTATCCTAGAAATCTATGTCTAGGAATATAAAAGCAAATTAAATCCAAATATGAAAATAGGATATAATAAATTATAAATTTATTTATAAATTATTATAGAAATGAAGTCAAGGATACAGCTAGCAGCCTTAAATAAAGAATTACAAAAAAAAAAAAAAGTGTGGGGGATGAAAACTTTCCCTTCTCCCTTCTAGGTTCCTTGGCTGATCTAATAATTAAATTGACATAGAACAGTTTTACAGAAGAAAAAAGAAACTTAATTTTGTATATCCAGGAATTCCAACGATATGAGACTCCCTGACTGACAAGCAATCAAGATTTATGCCATCCTGAGCTGAGGAGAAAGGGGTAGAAGTCTAGAGCTTCAAAGGGGAAGAAGACAATACACAAGAAGATAGAATAACAAATGTTTGGCAAACAGATGTTTGTCCTGCCAGTCAGATAAGTCTTTCTGATGTAAAAAGTTATATCTTGTTAGCTCTCTTCCCGATACAGGTCCTCTACCTAATTCTTTTAGGCACTTAAAGGAGAGGTAAAATAACTCTTCCTGGGTCTGTTAGACCTCGCTTGCCTTCAGCTCAAAATCATCTACATGCTAAAGGGGCATATTCTGGGGTCACATATTCTGTTCCCCCTCAAAAGCAAAGGTTGGTCCTCTGAAACGATTAATAAAACTAAGGAAAACTTATCAAGATCAATAAATAGAAAAGAAAGAGAAAAAACACAAATTACCAATATGAAGACTGGAACTTATATATTGCTAGTAGAAGTGTAAAATTGTACAAAAACATTGAAATACAGTTTGACAGTATCTAGTCAAGCTACAATAAGCTTTGTTTCATCAATACTACATTCAGATATTTGTTCAAAATTCCAAGAAATTGCATGACACCCAAGTGTCATCAGTTAAATATAGAGCTAGCATCAGTAGATATGGTATCATACCTCGTCTTAGAGAAATAATATGTCACATGACCATATGGTGTCTTAGATATGTCAGATATCTTAGTCTTAGATATTTCAAAAAAGCAGATGACCAATTAAACTCAAGTAAGGAAGAGTCCTTGGACTTGAAGTGAAGTTTCAGAGCCATTTCAGGGTCAGGTCCAAAAAATCTAAGGCCAGACTTCTCACATCATATACCCAATTGGATGAGGCACATGGGGCAGGAATCTTAGCATTCTGGATAGATTAAGCATTCTGCAGAGTCTCACGTGCCAGGAGCCTACTTTCAATAGGCCTAAAAATTCTGTGTGAAATCTCTCAAGTTAGATTTGAGCTGACCCCAATTTTGGTTTGATTATTTGGATGAATTGAATGGAGAGCCTGTGAAAAGCATATTTACATGAACAGTAAGTAGTTTGATAAACAACTAATTACATACAAAGAAGGAACTCTTGAGAAAGTCTTAATACAGTAACAAATCTTTAGAGGGAATATGTTTAAGTAAAACATGGTGTACTGCCCATTCTTATGTTTTAGGTATAATTGTGGTACAGAGATCATTATACATTTGTTATTTCATAAATCTATCATAGAATTTACAATTTAGGAAAGCCCAAAACTAAATGATAGCAGTGAAAACAAAACATTAAATTAAGTTCAGGGGTGCCTGGGTGGCTCAGTCGTTAAGCATCTGCCTTCGGCTCAGGTCATGATCCCGGGATCCTGGGATCCTGGGATCGAGCCCTACATCGGGCTCCCTGCTCCACAGGAAGCCTGCTTCTCCCTCTCCCACTCCCCCTGCTTGTGTTCCCTCTCTAGCTGTCTCTCTCTCTGTCAAATAAATAAATAAAATCTTTAAAAAATAATAAAAAAAATAAATTAAGTTTAAAATTTGGGGGTATAAAATGGTAACAGTGCTTGGCAATCCAATCCAAAGACGTTGCACACGTGAAGGAGGATAAACACTGGCAACCTTGAGGATGGTTAGTGAGTGGAGCCAGGCCAATCTGCAGGGCAAGCAATGGCTTCCAAGATTCTTTCTTCCTTCTAGGGAAAACATGACATCAGGGCACACCCCTGCTCCTCAGAAACAAGTGCCATTCAAGCCCCAAATTGGCTTCAGGACAAAAAGGAGAACATCATCTCCATTTCCTTATGAATAGGTGGCCCCAGCTGAAGAAGGAGCTAAACACCTGTGCTTCTTTTTTAAAGTTACGAGGGTTGCTGGAGGGAAAGTGGGTGGGGGGATGGGATAACTGGGTGACAGGCATTAAGGACGGCACTGGATGTGATGAGCACTGGGTGTTATAAGCAACTGATAAATTATTCAACACTGCATCTGAAATTAACGATGTAGTTAAGTTGGCTTTAAAAAAAATTGAGTTAAAAAAACAAAAACAGAATGGTTACTGAGATTAAGAATTCCTCATATCAGTAAGATCATATGATACATGTCTTTCTCTGACTTATAGGGTTGCTGGAGTGGTGGAGGGTGGGAGGGATGGGGTGGCTGGCTGATAGACACTGGGGAGGGTATGTACTATGGTGAGCGCTGTGAATTGTGTAAGACTGATGAATCACAGTCCTGTACCTCTGAAACAAATAATATATTATATGTTAAAAGAAGAAAAAAGAAGATAGTAGGAAGGGAAAAACGAAGTGGGGGAAATCGGAGGGGGTGATGAACCATGAGAGACTATGGACTCTGAGAAACAAACTGAAGGTTCTAGAGGGGAAGGGGGTGGGAGGATGGGTTAGCCTGGTGATGGGTATTAAAGAGGGCACGTACTGAATGGAGCACTAGGTGTTATACGCAAACAATGAATCATAGAACACTACATCAAAAACTAATGATGTAATCAAAAACTAATGATGTAATATATGGTGATTAACATAACATTAAAAAAAAAAAAGAATGGTTACCGCTGCCTATGGACAGGCAGGCAGCACAGTTTTTGGAAACTTGAAACTCAGAGAGCCTGGATACCCCTTACTAGTTCTACTGCTTAACATCTCTGGATAAGGTACTTAAATTCTCTAAAATCTTAATAAAATAACAAAATATAAGCACTTATAGGATACTTACTACTGTTAAACCCAAAAATTCAACTGAGTAATTTAAAAGCTCCAACTGGCTTTTTTGAATGATTCATGAATCAGGCAGCATCCTACCTAGGAAATAGAAAAGAGGTACAGAGAACAGAGAACTGCAGAAAAATAAAAGTTTTTAAAGGCAGAGAAGCAGCATAGAAAAGGAAATTATTAACAAAGAATGCACTGTTTTAGGCAAAGTTGCCCTCCTAAGGGGGACAGACGGGGTCTATCAGTAAATTTTCTACTGCTGACCAGGAAATTCCATATTGACTGGCTAAAGTTATATCCCTGAAGGGGTTGAAAAGGCAGTTAGGTAGTAAGCCTTGCTTTGCTGACTTGGGCCCTTAACCTAAATGACTCCATTTCGGGCCTGTGATTGTCTTTTTAACACTATTTACCAAGAATTAGACCGCCCTGTAGACTATGTTCAAAGCCACACAGCCCACCTGTCATAACCGGGTCTTACTGACTCAGGAGCTTAAATTTCTTCACCATAATGCGATGGCATGTCATATCCCCTCAGCACCACCTGAATGTGAGAACGAAAACATACTCTAATCACTGTAGCTGCAATATTGAACTGGACTGAAATGTTGGGACCCATATCTAGGAAAGACCCCCCAACTCCCTCTGATTTAGCTGATTGTCCAATTTTCCTTATGAGGGACCCAATTCAGATTATAGTTCATTTTACGGTAAAAATATCTGAACATGAAGTAAAATAAGACTATTTTGTGTACTTTCAGATGAAGCAACTAGTCTAAGTGGTATTTAATAAAATCTAAATGCCTTGAGAAATTTGATTATTTAGGTACAGAGTAAAGAATGAACTATTTGAAACTAAGATTTTTTGTGTGTAGATTATTCACAAAAGCCATGATATGGAACAACCTAAGTGGATAAGTGGAGATATATATATATATCTTTTATATAAATAAAAGATATATATATTAACCATGAGAAAGAAGGAAATACTGTCACTTATGACAGCAGGGGTAGAACTTGAGGGCATTATGCTAAGCAAAATAAGCCAAGGAAAGACAGATAGTGCATTGTATCACTTATATGTGCTATCTTAAAAAAAAAAAAAATCCATCTCATAGAATCAGAAAGTAGAAAAGGAGTTTCCAGAGGCTGAGGAGTTGGAGGAACAGGAGAGGTTGGTAGAAGGTTATAAACATTTAGCTATGAGTAAGGTCTGAGAATCGAATGTGTAATGTGATGACTATAATTGATAAAATGGTTATATAATTGAAATTTGCTAAGGGAGTAGAACTTAAATTTTTTTAGAAAGATAAATATGTGAAATGATGGATGATTAACAAGATGGGGCAACGTTTCACAATAAGAAAAAAAAAAAACAAGACAAAAAGATTGCTTTGAAATAATGAGGATATGTGATAACATAATCCTGGGCATCTCTCTGGTGTTGAAGAGAATACTAAAAGAGTCTTGAAGTGTCTCAACCAGCCTTCTCAGTGGACGCCTAGACACAGATGAAGGTTTGAAGAAAAGGTGAAGGACCTGGAGAGGGTGCTGAGGCAGAAGTCACATAGAACTATGTCGCCCACAGCTGACTTTGGACTCCAGTCTTTCCCTTATGGCCCATCCAAGATGTCTAAGCTTCCCCCAGTCTGATAATTTCTGAATATTGAGTCTAATATAGGGTGCTTGGGTAGTATGCGTGTTCCTTAGCAGGTTAAGATATTCCCTTAACAAAAGGTAGTGATGATGTACTTTTAAATTAGTGATAAATCCCGGTAGAAATGGATAGGATTTCTTAAACTACACATTTGTAAACATAAATATTCCTTAAATATTTTGTGTTTAAACTCACATGCAGAGCAAAACATCCTATGAAAGTCTTCTAGGCATTTACCTGACAGATATTTTTGAACATAGTAGACATTGTGGGGCACCTCAGTCAGCTGAGCGTTTACCTTTGGCTCAGGTCATGATCCCGGCATCCTGGGATCAAACCCCATGTCAGGCACCCTGCTCATCAGGAAATTTGCTTCGCCTTCTCCCTCTGCCCCTCCCCCTGCCCATTTCTCTCTCAAATGAATAAATAAAAAATCTTAAAAAAATATAGTAGACATTGTGCTGCAGGCTGGAAAATGAATCCTAGAAAGAACACCTGGCAGGTAGATAAATAATCTTATTACAGTGCATTTTTTTGTTGGCTTATTATATAATATCCTCATATCTTTTTTCTCATAAAATCTTGTGGATCGTTGAGAAAAAATGAAAGATAATAAAAAGGTTTTTGGTTTTGTTGCATAACATTCTTTCTAGTGGTTATTCCTCCTGATGTGTCCTCAAGACCCCCACGGTCCCCATTACACACACACAGACACAATCTCACGCACACATAGGTACAATACACCCACTACATCTTTATACTTAAAAATAATCCAAATACTTTTTGGAAAAATGTTACATTAAACCAGAGCAAACAGAACTATGAATAAATAACCAGTCAGAGGAATTTCTGTGGAATGGGCAGGGTGTTTTCCCTGACATTTCAGAGATTTTCATGGCTCAAAAAAAAAAAAGTATTAGTTATATGTGTGAAAAGTTCTAAGAGTTGAAACATCCAAAGATGACCTTGTCATCCACAGACAGGCACTATTGCCTCCATGGTTTTTCTTGGATTTTGTCTTGGCTCTGGGGCAGGAATACCTAAGTCAAGCAAACTCTGTTTGGAAGCAATCCAATCATTCTGTTAAGAGAACACAAGTGTTTGGTCAGAGAGAAATGTCCAGACAAATGGGAACCAAAACACGAAGCTGAGATTGGATTGTATGATTCAATGGACATGGATATAAACAATCATTAAAATAGTAGTGCCTCTTTATTGTAGAAAATAAACAAATAATAAGATATTCTAGGGGGCCTGGGAATCTGCTAGATTTCATTACCTCCCTAAGAGGCACATGGGAACACATGTTAAACTTTTAGCCTTTCTGACAATACTTATTTTATCATTAATGCATGATTGTTTGTGACGTAGGGAGAGTTCTAAATATGTAAGGACAATATATGCAGTCAAATAAAAAGGGAAAACAGTATCTTTGAATTTAATTCAGGAACAGTTTACTTACATCTTAATTAGTGCCAGGTTTATAGATAGGAAAAAAAGATACATATAGAAAAAAAAAAAGCCAGATAATCTTCTGGCTCCGTCAAACTGAAAAACACAATTTGAAAGAAGAAACACTCATATACGGCACAGGATTATTTGAAAAGGAGTAAATGTACAGCTGCATAGCAATGACGAACAGGGAAGGAATCAGAAATAATTCTGGTCTGTTGACATATCTGAAAAATCTTCCTGAATAAGATGACATCATGAGTGTGAATTATAGGTAAGACATGGATCCTCAAGCATGGGAGTAGGGAATCCTAAGCAGAAGAGATAGCTTAATGTTGATAGATCCTAGAGTGTGTTTGGAGAATGTAGATGGACCCAGTGTAGCTGGATGAAAGCATCTGAGCAAAGGGACATGCAAAGAGAAAAGCAAACAAAGAGGAAAAATAACTAACATGAGTTTCTGGTAGTCATGTGTCACATTAAAACTTCACATGTGTTAGCCAAAGTAACATTACATCTTTATGAAGGACAATATTACACCATTTTATAGATACTTTTAAAAGGGAGACTAATAAAATTAAAGTGAATTGTCAAGACCCAGAGATAAAATCTGTCAGTATTCACCCTGCTCTCCCTGACCCAAAAGCCTGTGATTTTAACACCATGCTTTCTACCAACATAGTGACTTCTAAGATTGGCAAATTAGACTCAGATGATTTATGGAAGATTTCTGATAAACAAGCAGGGAAGTTAGTTTTATTCCAAGGAAAATAGGATTCCTTACACATTTTTGGATAAGGGAGTGATATGATCAGTGATATGCTTCAGAAGGGCATTTCTTGCTTCCTCACATGCAAGTGGTCACACGTGGAACTAGATGGATCTTTTAAGGTGACAGATTGCAGTCTGATTCACAGTAACTTGCTTCTTTGGTTCATGTAACGTCAGTCAGAGGTAATTTAGCCCAAGTGCCCAGACAAAGCTTATATGCTTTCTATAACTATTCAAGAGATAAATGCCTTTGGTACGTAGGATCGAAACTACAAAGAATACCACCTTATTCACATGAATTCTGAATGTGCTATTTTAGACCACACCTACCCCATGGCGATTTTCATCTCCATCTTTCTCAGAGTATAGATGAGAGGATTTGGCATGGGGACAATCACAGTATAAAATACGGAAATTTCCTTATACCCATTCTCACTCTCTGCAGGTAGAACATAAGTATGGATACAGGGCATGAAGAATAAAACTACCACCATTATGTGAGAGCTGCAGGTGGAGAGAGCTTTGCATTGCCCTGCAGAGGATTAGATCCTAAATGAGTATAGAAGAAGCCACCAGGACAACAAAAAAGGCTGCCACCACCATTCTTGAATTAGCTAAATTACCTAAAATACTAACAATATGTATGTCTTTGCACACTAGTTCCAAAAGGGGCTTCACATCACATATGTAGTGATCTATCTGATTAAAGGTAAAGTGAGTAAATTTGGTAAAAATAAAACATTAAATAAAGGGTAAAGCTGGAGCTTTTAATCTGGCAATATTTTTGTTTTATTAGTAACTTGACAAACTAGTAATCTGTCCAGTTCCCCTCTGCTATAAAAACTCTAATGAATTACATCTCCCTCATCAATTTTTCTACACTTCCATCCTTCTGTATATAGGGCCTGTATAATCACTGTAACTTTAGTATTGCATTTTCATGGACTAAAATTCTTTGTGTATTTTCATCATCATCCTATTCATATAATCCTGTTAAACAAACTCTTCTATCTCCATGATATTTGCTCGGTTTTCTAAGAAATCATTTATTTTTGTATCTTGTTAGAGATCCAAATAAACACATCACATCAAATTTTTTTTTTCAGGTTCCTCTAGGAAATATATCTCATGCATCTCCTCTTCATGTTATTTACAAAGATGATTTGCCTTTTCCCTTCATTTCCATGATTTGTGTTACAGAGTTTTTTGATTGAAGTTTGTTTGTTTGAGCTCTTATTTGTTTTTTGCTTATGTTTTTCTTGTGTTCATAAGAAGGACTTTGGATCTGATAAACAGTGACTTTCCTACTAATTTCTGGCATTTTATGATTCAGTTCCTTTATGGACTTTTTTAATGGGCCAATATGTAGAAGAGCAGTGAGTGTATTTTTAGTATCCCAAGTAACTGATTTCACTTTATCTTTACTAGTTTATTTTTATTTCCAAAGTGAAGTCAAGAGAGTTAAAACCAGAGAATCACTTTAAATCAGATCCTATTATGCAAACTTCTTGATGTGTATTAATTTATAAATACGACTTGAGATCATTTAAGTGAAGATGCTATCATGAATCAAAACTTGATCTCAAAATTAGAGATTTTAACTACTCCTTTGCCAGACAGAATGTTTCATCATGTGGTCTAGCCACTAAAACTGAATTTTCTAATACAATTACTATTAAAGTTTTCTTTTTTACATCAAAATTCACATTTTATATAACATTGTCTTAACTGTGCGTGTAACTGATTTTGTGTGTGTAAACTTGTTCATACCATCTCAAAGCCCACAAAATTAACTAAGTTTTAAACGTATTTTTTGTATGGTTAAATTAATATTTCTTTGTAGCTATTATTAAACTCTAAGTCCTAAGTTCTGTCACTCATAACTTGATACCAGTGGAACAATTATTCTGTGAGATTGTTTCCTCCCTCCCCCATCCACATCTAGCTGCCCCTCTGTTTTGCTAAAAAGATGTTGAGCTCTGATGTTTGACACCAAATTTTTCTCATGGTGTTTTTCATCTCTGAATTTCTCAGAGTATAGATTAGGGGATTGAACATAGGAGCAATGATGGTGTAAAATAGAGCAAATATTTTGTCCTCAGGAAAAGTAGTAGGTGGTCTAAGGTAGATAAAGATTACAGGCCCAAAAAATAAGATGACCACAGTGATATGAGACCCACAGGTGGAGAGGGCTTTGCATCTTCCCTCAGCTGAGAGATTTCTTAAAGTGAACAATATTATCCCATAAGAAACAAATAAGACAATAAAGGTTACTAAGGCAACCATACCTGAAAAGGCAACCACAAGGACACCAGTGATGTACGTATCAGTGCAGGCAACTTTCAGCAAAGGGAAGATATCACAAAAGTAGTGATCAGTCTCATTAGGACCACAGAAGGGCAACCGGATTACCATAAAAAATTGAGGAAAGGAGTGGACAGCCCCACCTGCCCAAGCAGCTAAGAGTAGGAGACTGCACCTTGTCCTGTTCATGATAAGCAGGTAGTGGAGAGGTTTGCAGATGGCAGCATAGTGATCAAAGGCCATGACTGTAAGGATTAAAACTTCAATCATTCCAAAGAAGTGCATTGTAAAGACCTGTAACATGCAATTACCATAGGAGATGGTTTTTCTTTCCACTAGCAGGTCACCAATTAATTTGGGTGTAACGTTAGAGGTATAGCAGATGTCCATAGTGGATAAGTGGCTGAGGAAGTAGTACATGGGTTGGTGAAAAAGAGGGCTGCATCGAATGGAGACAAGGATCAGAAGGTTTCCTGCCAACAGGGCAACATAACAGAATAAGAAGAGCACAAAGCAAAACACTTGCATGTTCTGGTCATACAAAAATCCCAAAAGAATGAATTCTGAGACATTCCTCTGGATCTCCATGTGTTTCAGACTGGCATATATTGTAAACAGATGGGTTAAATATCTGAAAAGAAAGAAAACGTGAATCTGCATAGATATTAGCAGCATGGCAACAATACTATAAAATTTACCAAAAAGCAAATTGGTATCATTGAATAAGTAATATTTATTCCTGATACCTAGATTTATGCTTCTTTTTTATTTCTCTTATTTTAGAAATCTATTGTAAATAATTCTATAATGGGAAAAATGATGTAATTTTCAACATTACCGTCAATGATTATGGAATATTCAAATGTTAGTTTGACGTTAAAGAAATAATTTTTGTTAGTTGCATTAATTAGATAACAAAAGGAGTATAATTTACATAATTAAAATTTTTTGCACATTTTAAAATGCACGTGTTTATCCATAGGGTCAACTGTTTTTCTTTCAGGATGATCTGGACAAATTCTGTTTTATTTGGGAGTGTATCCTCAGGAATGAAAATTTATTAAAAATACATCAGTTTTTGGAGTGCCTGGGTGCCTCAGTTGGTTAAGTGCCCAACTCTTGATGTCGGCTCAGGTCATGATCTCAGGGTTGTGAGATAGAGTCCTGTGTCAGGTTCTGCACTGGGCATGGAGCCTGCTTAAGATTCTCTCTCTCCCTCTCTGCTTCTCCTCCCACCTCTCTCTCTATCTTTCCCTCTCTAAAAAATAAAATAAAAAATAAAGGATGATCTTCCTTGCCTTGTGGACAAACACTATCAATTGCACATTTTGAACTAAAATAGTTTCAGGCACATTAAAAGCAAAGAATGGTTGAAAACAATGCAACAAAGAGACTGTCAAAGGATTCAAGTTGCAAAAAAATAAAGAGCCAATTTATTCATTTCTCCTATTTACATTTTACAAACTAAACAAAAAAATTATTTTAAATTAATATAAATTTGTGATGGCAAGTGATAAATGAAAGATAAAAATAAATTGCCCAAGTATATTTGCACTGTTTATATTTCATGACTTTTCCTAGGAACTTCAGTATTTTATACATGATCTAGGCAATAAAGTCCAACAAAAGAAGATGATACAGAATGTAGCTCCAACAGAGATTTGTTTCAACACTCAGCAACTAGACGTTACATTAAGGAATGGATCAAAGATTCACAGATTTGTATCTTTTGCACAATCTTGAGACATTATTTATATACAGGGAAAGAGTGTAGGAGAGACAGAATGCACTCCGGGAGCTGTTTTAGCCAGTGCTGAGGAATTAACTGACACTCAGTGAGATTCAAACACTGTAGCACAGCTTCCACCTTTGTCTGATCTGATGTAACAACCATGTCTGGGCACTCTGGATGAATATTTTAAAAACACAGAATGCTACTGTAGCAAAGTTATTTAGAAGCCATCAAATCTACTAAAAACTCAAAACTTTTATGCCTTTAAGATTTTTTTAGACGTAATTGGTGTAACATTTTTAAACAGTGTAGACTATAAGAAACTTATTCTGTTTTAAATTATCATTCAACTCTAATTTCATCAAGAAGAAAAAAAAATCCATCTTCTCCTACTATGGCTTTAGTACTGTTATCAGACTTCCTGACCTCTCTCTTGTTTTTAGCAAAGCAAAAATAATTATCAGTTCAGAGTGTTCAACAGTGAACAGTACTTAAACAGAGGTTAATAATTTTATGATTCATTGATCAATTTTCTCCTTACCTTATTACAGCCCGTGCTGATTCCTAATTTAGAAGATGGCATACTGTTTACAGAGAGATGTATTTGCCTAAAACAAATTGACTTGAAGTTAATTGTTAGATAAAAAACTTAAAGTGGATATCACATATCTATCCAAACCCCTGATTTTCAATAAAAGAGATTCAGATCAAGACAATCTAGGTAATTTATTAGCATCAGAAAGTAATATCGTGTGGAGGACAGATATCTTGATTCCCAGTCAGTCCAGAGCTGCATCCCATGCCTGTGAGCAGAACAAGAAGATGAGGTGTCCTGGAGGCCAGTAGTGAGAAGATGCATTTTGAATTCTCATCCCAATAAAAAAAGAAAAAAGTATGCAAGGTGACAGATTACTGATTACCTAATTTATGTTTATGAATATTTTGAGAAATATATTTTGCAGTTAATATAAATATGTGGTCCAGCATTCTTGATTCCAAATCATTTTGAAATAATTTTTCATCAGTTTTAGCAAAATGTGCCTTCCTTCAGGTAGGATTCTGCCTCATTTTTTAGATTATCACAGATGTTTCACCCACAATAGCTCTTAAACTCTCATCCTGATATCTGAGGAGAAATGCTATTATAATCACTGCTGTTAGCTGAAGTAAAAAGGATATGTGAATGCAGTCCAGTGACAGAATTATTGTGATTGAAACATGAAATATATTCTTGACCACATTTTCTCAATTTGTCAAATAATTGAAATCATAAGTGATGAAAGGAAGAAATATTATGCATTCCCTGGTTGGAATAATGGAACAAGAAATATGTAGAAACATGGAGAAGTATAACTGAATGGTGAACTGTTTTGATTCAAATTGTGTTTCTACAGCAGTAACAATCTGAATATAAAAAGAAAACCAGTTACCTAAATACTTCTAATGGTCAGAGGTTTGATATTAAGTGAAATGTGTCCTTATATTTGGTTATTCCACTTTAATTATGGTTATTTAGAATCAATGTATAGCATTTAAAATCTGAGTAATCTGGCCAATGTTCTATGAGAAATCAATCTTCCAGTTTAAGCAAAGACACTATCCAAACATTTTTCTCATTAACTTTAATGTCTTCCTTTTTTATATGCCAATAACTTTTAATAAGAACTCAGTAAACAAAATTAACCTTCTCCCTTTCCATCCATTTATGAATGTTGAGATTATTGCTAACCTCTTAAAGCTTCATTGTCCACATTTATAGACTCCATAAACTATTACATAATTCAGACTATAATGAGGAATACAAAAAATAATGTGAAATACCCCAGTGTCATACATGGTTCAAAGTCATACATTAGCTTCATTTTACTTTTTTGAGTGAGCAGTCTCTGATATTGCCATGTGCACATATATAACCAGCCCAACAAGGAACAAACAAACAAACAAAAAAACTCCAAATATCCCAACATATATTAATGAGGATGACCATGATAAATTTCAGTTTGGAGCAAACTGTTAGTAAAAAGAAATAAAAATTACTCTAAAAAATTGGTTGTCTTTGGGCACTTCTTTTTTTTTTTAAAGATTTACTTATTTATTTGAGAGAGCGAGAATGAGAGAGAGTACATGAGAGGGGGGAGGGTCAGAGGGAGAAGCAGGCTCCTCGCTGAGCAGGGAGCCCGATGCGGGACTCGATCCTGGGACTCCAGGATCATGACCTGAGCTGAAGGCAGTTGCTTAACCAACTGAGCCACCCAGGCGCCCGTCTTTGGGCACTTCTTAATACTAATCACTGGCCTGCAATTTCCCTGCACTAAAAAAATACAGTCAAATTATTACTTTATTTCTTTGGTTGCATTGCATAAAAATGCTGCATTGTCTTTTGATTGTGCTATTTAAATAATAAGAAAAACTGCTCTTAGAGTTTCCACTGTAAGTTCAGATTTTCTCCTAATGATATCAAAATATGGCCCACGATGGTTACTTTAATTCAATCAGATAAATCTAGTCCATTTTAGAGTGACAAGGTTTTTGAAAGTTAGAAAACTACTCATCATTGGGACATGCAATCATAAACTGGGCTATTCCTTCATAAGAATATAGTGGAAAATATAAAGGCACCAAAAAGAGACTCAATAAATTTCACTGAAACATAAAGATTTCATTAACTTCAACTGAATTGTTTTTGTTCTCAAGTGGAATTCTGCTCATGAATAATGTACAATAAGACTAAAGGTAGTTAAATTATTTTGTAGTAATCACAATTAACTTATGCTGCTAGAGAAAATATAGTCTAAGGATGAAATTAAGTGGAATAAATTTAAAAAGCATATAACCACCCCAAAGCACAGTTGGTGGAACATTCTCCAATGAAAATGGCATGGTTAATTCACTGAACATTAGATCTCAGTGGCTGTAAATTAGTTTTAGGTCAAATCAGGAGAGCTCCCTCCTGAGGTACTCACTCTGCTGATTCTTCTCCAGTATCTAAAGATGAAATAAAATGCAGAGATTTATAAACCAATTATTCAAGCACGTTTAGGTCAATTCTTTAAAATTATTTTGAAAATCTCAATATGTATTAGAACATTTTATATATTTGCAAGGGGAGTAGAACTTAAATATACATTGAACCATCAGGGATGTAAGAAGTGGATTTTAGAAAGAAAGAAGAAAAAGAAAGAAAGAAGAAAGAAAGAGAAAGAAAGAAAGAAAGAAAGAAAGAAAGAAAGAAAGAAAGAAAGAAAGAAAGAAAGAATGAAAGAAAAAGAAAGAAAGAAAGAAAGAAAGAAAGAAAAAAAAGAATGAATTAATTAATTATTTTGAAATTCTGGCAAAAACATATATACATTTTAAGTTCTAGGAGTCACTTATTTTATGCCTATCAATGAGGGGAAGTTGATTCAGAAGAGCAGAATATAACATATGACAACACAAGAATTAATAGGTCTTTGAAACTCTGAAAAATTATATTCCCAGAGGCATTTCTGAACAGATTTTCACTGTGTTGCTCTCCATGGTACTGACCCTGGTGCCTGTGGGCATTTTCTGGATATAACTTTACTTCTTATCTTTGTGTTGGCTTGTGTCAAGCAGTTTCTCTGGAGGCTCCATAATGCTCTACTCAGAGCAATTCAGAAACTCTGCCTGCCTTGTGCTCATCTTGCTTTCTGAAGAAAAATAATATAACATGGAATAGTATTAGGGTAGTACTGACTAAGAAATAATTCACTGAAAACAAAAACATACATTTATTTGGGCAATTAGAATTGCAATTTGGGAGACACAGATTCAGGTAGAAACCTAAATTGTGTTCCCAGGAAGACAAAGAGAAGCAGAGTTATATAGGTGAAAGGCT